CCACGAAAAACTAATTATCAAGATATATATATATATATATATATATAAACAATCTCTTCTTAATTAAATTATTATTTCTTGAGTCGTAGATGATATATAATTGAAAAGGAACTCGTGGAATGACTTTTGTAGTTCAGATGTCATGACCTAGATATACTAATTTTAATGAAAAATGCCAAAGGCTGATCCGTACGTGGCCAATAGTTGATGTGTTTATTGATTTTTTTCCAATACTTTAAATCCATATATATCGCCTGTTGATTAAGTCATGAAGGCAAAGAATATACCTACATTGCTTTAATTACATTTGAATCTTCACACAAAATCCACAATATCTATTAAATTTGTTGGCTAGAAAAAAATAATAATAATAACGCCCATGTAATCTATTGGAATTGGAGTCAACAAGCCACCTGGGTTACATTATGCAACTATTGTTCTATCTTTCCAAACAACCACCGTAAGTTTTGGCCACAGCTATCAATATTATTGTTAACGCCATCACAGTTGAAAATTATTTTTTAAAAATATTAAATTTGTTTAATTTTATTCGTAAGAATTATTAATAATTATAATTATTAATTAATAATTGATAAAATAGTTGATATTTATTAATAAACAAATTAATATTTTCAAACATTGTTTAAGGGAAAAAAAAAACTAAAACTTTAGTGTTCTTAACCGTTTCAATAGTAACAATGATCACACCTCCCCCAAGCATCTCATGTGCCGTGTAGCTTTTTAATGTCTTCCTCTTGACATGTGTGTTTATAAGGATCAATTTGATTGTGGTTTGCACTTTCCTTTGCATCCTTTTATTACTGAAGTTTATGATGAAATTTCTATTAGTCTACCTCAATTAGCTCCTTGAGCTGTTGTATATGTTATTGCTTTCCTTGTGAGGTGCTTCTTGCTTAAGATTACTCCTTCCCAAGAGTTGTTTTCTTTCTTTTTTCATTTGAAAACTGCTGAGCCCATTGGTAGTTGTCCACTAGCAAAGTTATGGACAGCCATGTCATGGCTTCCACAGAGAAATCTGAAAGCGACTTTTTGTCACTAGCAAGCAGCATAAATTTAGAAGACTCGCGAGTAATGGAGCTGTGCCCAATGATGGAAGGACCATCAATACATGCGTCATAACTTGTGCAAAAAAAAAAAAGAAGAAGCACATATGTAAAGTAAGGATAAGCATGTGAAATATGGAAACAACAAAGGACTATATCAGGCCGAACAACATCCTTCAAAAGTGACCTTGTCAAAGGTTTGGAAAAGCTCCTCCTAGCAACAAAATCCATAATTGGAGAAATTAAAACTCTCCCCTCAGAAGAAAAACTCTGCAACTCATCATCAGGTAGGATAATCAGAGAAGGAATTTCCTTGTCAACATCAATCATGCCTTTCCTTGCTTTACCTTTAGCAAGACCACTGTCAACAACAACTCTAATAGAAGAAGAAGCTTTCAACCGCACGTTTGTAGATATATCCTAAGAAGCAAATCCCTTAGATTTGCTTGAAATTTTTTCAATTCTGACAGAATGACACAAAGTAGCTAAAGTATCCACACCACCTACACAAGTAAAAATTATGGATAATAAAACAGGAAAGTATCAACGAGAATCAACGAAGTGAAAAAATACCTATAGCATCAAGTGGAGGTTCAGAAGCAATAACAAAGATTTCTTCACCAACCTTTCTTTTCAGAGGACGCTCAGGTTTCAAAGAAGCTTTAAAACCAAGGGAAACCACAGGAACAAGAAAATTGGAACCGCAGGAACTAGTAACAAATACCCACATCAATCAAATTTTTCTGAATAATCAATTTCGCAATGCTTATGGAAGGCTTAGTAATGAACCTATAAACAACTTTATAATACTTGACAGAAAGAAGAAGCTCAACAATAGTGGTTCACAAAACTCTCCAGATAAATGGGAAATAAACATCTTTTGGATCACTCAAAAAGAAAATTTTCTTGTGCCAATTGCTAGAATCATAACTAGGCAGAGGTTCCATGAAAACTATACTTCGATTATGTTTCTTATCATCAACACCCTAAAATTCTAACACTTTACAAGAGAAATAATATCAACTACCAAGGAAAAGACAAAGAATGCTACCAAATGGGTAATATTCAAGAGGGTACATGGAAATGGAATCTCTCTTGGAGAAGAACCTTGTTTGAGTGGGAAAAAGAGGACACCATGAAACTCCAGGGGATTCTTGACAATGTGAAGATCACTCCTGGACGCCCTGACAAATGGCAATGGATTCACAGCAGTGATGGTCTCTACTCAACAAAAATGGCTTATTGGAAGTTGACAAAAGAACGGACGGGATCGAAAGAGGCAAAAATGTCAAAGAGAATATGGAATCCCATGCTCCCGAGCAAGATAGCTGCCTTCAATTGGAGAGTAATACTTGACAGAATTCCTACCAAAGCTAATCTTCATAAAAGAGGAATTATCAAGGACATAGAAGAGGCAAAATGTGGTATATGTGAGGAGTATAAGGACGCCAGCCACCTATTTCTAAATTGCAAAATAAGTAAATGGATTTGGAAAGCTTGCAGCAGATGGTGGGGGACCACGGTAGCATTAAAGGAAGATTGCTGCAACACTTTTGACCAATTCGGGAATGGGATAAAAGATCCACACATAGCAGAAGGTTGGGATTGCATCTGGAATACTGTCATTTGGACAGTATGGATGGCAAGAAATCGCAAAATATTCCAGGATACAGAAATTAATGTGGGTAAGTTGTTAGATCTTATTCAACTGAGATCATTCACTTGGATTAAAGCAAAAAAACCCAAGTGTTATTTTTCTCTTTCAGATTGGTTAATTAATCCTGCAGCATGTTTGTCTAGCAATAGGGGAGGGATTAATTGATGAATGATTTAAAAGAGGGAACTAACATTGGATATCTGTTGCTTTGTATAACTTTATGGGTTGAGTACCCCTTGTACTCAGTTTGATTATATACATCTTCTTTGCTGTTCAAAAAAAAACTACCAATGGGTTCAACAGTTTTCAAATGAAAAAAGAAACAAAACAACTCTCGAGGAGGAGTAATCTTAAGCAAGAAACACCTCACAAGGAAAGCAATAATATATGCAACAGCTTGAGGAGTTAATTAAGGTAGACTAATAGAAAATTCATGATAGATTTCAATAATAAAAGAATGCAAAGGAAAACACAAACCATGGATGAATTGATCCTTATAAACACATGTTAGGAGGAAGACATTGGAAAGCTGTGCGATACATGGGATGCTAAGAGGCAAAAACCCATGGATCTATCATATTTTTTTGTTAAATCTCATTTATCTAGCTAACATCAAAACTGCTAGTGTCCCAATCTACCTTATTGGAGCTACAAAAAACCTTTGCCAAACCCAATGAAAGACCAGACTTCTCATCCTTTAAAAGAGGAGGTAAAATGGTAGGAATCTCAATAGGAAAAAGTGGAGTCACAAGATTTTTCTCTACATGACATGAGGCACCCTTCACTAAAAATCTCCCATTTGCTACTACATAGGAAACAAAAAATGTCAAAATACTCAAATTTGGAAGCTGATGACGGTGGAAGAAGGTGCCATAGAAACAGGAATTGAAGAAGATCAAGCAACAACAAAAGAAGCTCCAGGATAACTTTTGACAACGATATCTACTTCCATCTTGGTAATGGCCTTGGTTGTTAAAACAAAACGACAGCTAGTGCAAAGTAGAAGAACATTTGTTTCCTTTACAAGAGGACAGCTGGATTGCATCAAAGGAGAAGATTAACAGATGGCAAATATTGCGCAACAGCTGGACTACATCAAAGGAGAAGATTAACAGATGGCAAAATTATGCAAATTAATTCATGGGGGATGTGTTCAAACACAATGGTATAAAGATTGATTTACCAAAATATTAGTCCATGTATTCATGCCTTATTTCTCTCATACTTTCCTTTTCCACTTTGTAATTTGTATAATATTTCCTTATTTCTACAATTTGTACATCTATAAATTGTATAGTTTTCTCACAAATAATACACAAGCAAAGAGTATTATTTTCATAAATTCTCCTCTTTCTCTTTTCTAATTGGTATCAGAGCCTTTCTCTTAAGAAAAGCCTCTTGTTTCTTTCTATGATTCTATCAAACAAATGGCAAGCCAAACCTCAACCCAGAAAAACTATGTTGAAACCAAGTATCCTTACCCATCCAGCCCAAATGTGGGTAATTTTGTTTCCATTCGTCTAACTCTAACCAATTTTCTCCTTTGGCAAGTGCAGATTATGGGCTTAATTGAGAGCTAAAACTTGACTGGATTTGTTGATGGAAGTTGGACTCCACCGACCAAGGTCATCTCTGCCCTTGAGGATGACAATGTCTAAGGCAAGAAGGAGGTGCCTAACCCAGAATACATATACTGGAAAAGGTCAGACAGCTTGCTCTGTGGATGGATCATGGGAACACTCATAGAGGAAGTACTCAGTCTTGAAACTTCACAAGAGGTATGGAATGCATTAGTTAATGCCTATGCTCAAAGTTCCATTGAATGTGAGTTTGAATTGAACCAAACAATTCAAGTGATAAGTAGATCAAACTTCTCTTCTCTGAATGAATATATTTTGAAATTCAAGTCATGCTGTGATGGCCTTGCAACAATTGGCCAGGCCATGAATGACAAAAAGAAGGTTTTTTGGCTACTTAATGGACTCATTCCTCAATATGAGTGCTTTACCACTTCAATGCTTAGGCCTCCAACACCTTTATATGCTGATATTGTTCCTCTGCTGCAGAGTTATGAAATTCGTACTAGTAGATTTAATATTTCTACTAATAACAACATGGCTTTTTTTAGTCAAAAAGGTGGATGTAACAAGAGAAGAAAATCACTCCAAATTGGAAATCAAGGCTTTTCTTCAAGAGGACGTGGGTTTATCCAAGCAACACAAACAACCAAGAATGGCCAAAATCACAATGTTGGTTCTTGTCCATACAAGGGTGAAACCTCTACTTTTGCTCAAGGACTCGAAGACATTAACAAGAGTTTTCAAAAGGGTGACACCAAAAATCCACCTTCAATATGCCAAAT